CTCAAACACCCAAACAAGTGCTATATTTTCTTTAACGAAGGGAACCATAGTATTTTTCAAACACATTTGTATAAACAATCCGATATATCTATCTATATATATAAAATAGAAAAAAATTTGTTTGTTTGTTTGTGTGTATGTTCCCGATAGACGCTAAAACCGCTGAACAGATGTTAATGATATTTACACTGTATGTCATGACATGCCCTGAAAGTAACATAGGCTAGCTAAACTTCTAAAATTCCGCGTGGATGCAGAGTTATAGCGTCAATAGTAAACAAACCTCATAATTTCGGAACATGTAATATGCGTATATCTTAAGAACGGTTACAGATACCGTCTTCAAAATTTGTGTGAATCACGTAGGTGTAAATACAAACCATCCATACAAAAACGAGCTTGGTACGATCAACGGAAAATACAATTTCTGCTGCATTTTCAAAATCTGCATATTGAAAACAGAAAACATTTCGTTTGTAGACTCAAAAATCGCTGGATAGATTTTACTGAGACTTTCACAGAACGTCATGACATGTCCTGGGAATAACATAGGTTATATAAACCTCTAAGATTCGGCGTGTATGCGGAGTTATAGCATCGAACGTACTCATGCCTCAGAAATTATGAACATGTAATTTTGTATATCTTAAGAAATGTTACAGATACCAACTTCAAAATATGTCTGAGTAACGTGGGCGTAAGTACGCATAATCTATTTAACAGGATCGCCGGCTACCAAGGGAAAATGCACTTCTCATTGCATTTCTATCTATACATATGTACATAGAAAATCGAAAGCCTATTGTTTGTGGACTTAAGAACCACTGAACAAGTTTTACGTCAAGCGATGGAAGTAACATAGGTTAGATAAACTTCTAAAAATTCGCGTGGATGCGGTGTAATATCATCAAAAATAAAAATACTTCTGAAAGAATATATGTTTGTATGTATGTATATTAGTAGCATGTAGCTACTTAAAAAATTTGTTTCAGAAAGATGGCTGCAATTGCGCATCATCCGAAGATTTTGGAACATTGAGGATATATTTTGAAATACATAAAATACAAAATATGTACATATATATGTGTATTGAAATACAAATAGAAAGAAATATTTTTTTCATTTTTGTCAGTTTGTGAAAAATTTTATTTGATGTTCAAAATAGTTATTTACCCTATTAAGTGTACTTATCTGTACTGACAATAACGACCAGTTCGGTAATTATACTAACCGTCTTCTCTTAATTTTCATGCACATAAATACTTATAACGAAATAAAATTTGTGTAAAATTTATAAAAGGTATCAATTTTAATTGCTTCTGTATATGAAAAACATGTTTTTCTTATTTTCAAAGGAAACAAGAATTACCACCATTACAGAAAACAGCGAATAATTCAATAACATCTATAAAAATATCGTGAGTTACCAATAGGAAGACACGAGAACGCATAGATATTTCACACATTTCTGTATTGTTAATACGAGCATATAAAAATTCAAGATTCAGGGGCAGCGAAGCGCCACGGGTCCTGCTAGTTACTACATAAAAACACTTATATATATTGAACTCCATAAAAAGAAAAAACAGTCCAATACCATTATTGACCCTCCTCCGTGCTTTCCAGTACCCTTGCAATACTGTGGCATGAGCCTTTTCATTTTTGGATTTTCTCACGTTAATTTTTTCATGTTTGAGTCTTTAATATTTATCTTTAATTCATCCGAGAGCATAATATTTTTCTACTGAGCCGAATTCCAATTAATATGAGCTTTTGCAAAAGGCAATAGAACTTTTCGATTCTTTTTAGAAATAAAAAAAAACTGTCTCGTCAACGCAATGTTCAACGATAACAGTCTCACAAATTCCGTTCAAATCTTTAATTGGTATTTTTTTACTGCTATGACAATTTGTTGATCAGTACCAACAGATGTTCTTTTGCAGCCTTCCTCCGTGCTGAACTGTCGCTACTGATATAGTTGCATAAAATCAACTTATAATTCAAGAAATCACTGATGTATTGATGGAATGTTTCTTCGAAATCATTTTCTGTGATAAAATAATTTCACAACCTCTGGCTAATATCTATGGTAACCGGAGTACACTTAAGTCTGTTTTTACACGGTAAATTGGTTCCAGAAGAAGCCGTGTAAAAAAGACATTGATCTTATACATAAAGGGAATTCCCCTAAATTAGTGCTATTCACATTTGCTTTGACCAGTAAAAATTGTTTGTACGCGCTAAAGGGGAATTCACTTAAATATTTAAGCTAGTGTTCCCAAACTATCGATGGTTTCAGACTTTTTTCTTTCATAAATACTTTTTTTGTAATATGAACATACTTCGCAAAAATTAAATTTGACCAAAAAATTTAAGTACATAAATTTTCAAATCGTGCTAAATGGATTAAAATCGTCTAAAAAAATTAAAAATATTCAATTTTCAAACCGTGTTATATCAAAACCGTGTACAAAAAGACCGTGTAAAAACAGACTTAGCTGTAATGTATTTGTCCTCCTATTTTTTAGCAGTAAGCCATGTTATTGTAATAAAATCCATTTAAAAATTATCTATTGTTTTTTTTTAGTGAATAAAGTACCCGATTTAAAAATGAAAAAATTAACACTTGCAATTTTAAATACATTAGTTTTGGCACCCAGTGCTTGATGTATCTAATATGCTAAAAATATTCAGATTGTAGCTCATAAAAACATAAACATTTAAACAACTGTCAAAATTTCTTTGTCAACTTACTCTCATTTACTGAACTTTTAAGTTACCCAACAACAACAATGTTATAAAGGATTAACCATGTTATGTTCCACTGGATTTTGTTCATTTTTAGTTAAAGTTCACATAGAAGCCATCTGCTACGACTTCTGAATGTACTATGAAACCTGGTAAAAATATAAAGTCCTAGTCACATTTGCAACAAAATTGTAAAAATAAATTGCCATACTTTCCCCACAAATAAATATTTGTTTTTTTTTTAACATCAAACTGAGATTCGGCCAGACTATTTTGCAAAAACACTAAATTGTCTTCCTAAAACTGTCGGTGTTTATTTGGTATTAAAGTTGTTGTTGACTATAGCCAACATTAAAATGATTTTCCAAATTTCAAAACATTTTTGAATATTGTGTAGTACCGTGATTATCTTCATTAAGTATCAGACATCGAACAAAAACCCATCCACACTAAAGTCATTGGTTCAGCTGTGTTTCTGAAGAAATTGCAAAATTTTATTTATTTTACTTCCATGCGACAACAAAAATATTTTTTTAAATCTATATTCAATTGTTCTCTTTTTAAAAATTCCAGTATTTTTTGTCTAATGTATAGTTTATCCACCATAGCAAAAAATTGAATAATTTATTATTACAGTGAAAACGGTGTCTGTGCTCTGAATTTAACTCTTCAAAATAAGCCATGAAAAAATGGCTGTCTGCCACCACACTACCATAACGCCCCTTAATTGTGAATGAAATGACACTCAATCGACACAAACGCCGTTAAGATGTTGTTATCAAATGTGTTGAAATATTCCAATATTTTCTTCTCTTTCTCTCAGTTGATAAAAAAGTTGATATATTATCCACCACATTTAATAACTTTAGCTGGGTGTGATTTTCCCACTCAACTTCTTGGTGTTAGATTTCTATTTTACCACACATTTAACTGAAAACAAAAATTCACCCAGTTTATAGCAATTCCCCTTCCCTAAATGTTACTCTCACCATGAAGACTCTGTTACTTTATAAGGTGAGATGAATGGTACATCACCACACTTAAATACTACAATTTGTTGTTTGGTGGTTGTTTGAATGTCATACATTCCCCACACATTAGGAAAGTAACGAAAACAGAGTTTATAATATTTCCCCTTCTCGCTTTAGAGGTGAACTGAGTGTAGTAATGATGATGGTGGTGAACTTTGCGGATGAGAGAAGGTTTTTGCTCTGCTTAAGTGACAAAGTGAACAATTATTGTTGCAAAAACCAAACAAACAACCTTTTCTCATTTCTGCGGAACATTCTGGCCTTTGTAATATTACCGTAGTATCGTGAGAGTGAGAAAAGAGATATCAATTGCCTCTTGTTGATAGCATTGTCTTACTTCTGGTATTGGTGGGTAGCAGATAAGGCGTAATGTTTGTATGGCAATATGGCGTCTTGTTGAGTGAGTAAACCAAAGACATTTCAATAAAGTGATGCGTTGTTAGAAAGAGATAGCTATGTCATTAAGGCGCATGTGAGAAATGAAAAAACGGCCAACAACAACATTTCATCAAATAAACAACCACCTATTTGTTGTTAACAACTGTTGGGCATACTCTCATATATTTGTAACTGACTGACTTAACACCACTACCACCACCGAGCCGGGCTAAAGTCAGTTGGGACTGTTTGTGTTGTTCTTTTTTTTTGTGTGTGCAACAACTACCACTATTTTTGAAAAGAGTCAGCCAGTCCGCCGAGCAGCCAGCAGCTCTTAAACAAGTAGGCAATTACTGGTTTTTGAGTTTGTTCAACGTTCATTCAGTCATCACAAGTTGAAACTGTAAGATACGTTTTGTGTCTGTGACTTGGGCAGGTGCGGTTAGTTTCGTTTCGAACGTGAATGTGAACGTTGCAAGCGCAGTAGACAAACAAACCGAAGAAAAAACAGCAAAATAATAAATAACGGAATAAAATCATAAAAACACAATATTTTGGAAATTTATGAATTAAAAAAAAATTAATTGGGGATAAGAAAAAAAAACAACAATAATAAGAAAAAACAAACAATGAAAAGTGTTGAATGAAAACAAAATGCAATAAACCCTATTAAAATTAAAACAAAATATAAACAAAGTGTTACAATAAAAAACCAAAATATTATTCAACAAATTTTGAAAACAGAAATTTACAACAACTAGAAAAAAATTGTGATCTGTTTTGTGATCTCAAGTGTGTGAACTTGTGTGTGTGTTCAAAAAAAAAATTATAATTTATTTTTCATGAAAAGTGTGGTGGCCATGAAAGATTCAATGACCATATTAACGCCGTCCCTTAATGCCAATGAACATCAAAAAATGTCCAATCTCAAACCGAATCGTTCACGTTTCATGATCAATGATATATTGGCGGGTAGTGCTGCCGCCGCTGCAGCCGTTGAGGCTGCCAATGCGGCGGCTGCCTTCTATAAACAACAGCAGCAGCAACAGCAACAAAATAATAACAACAATAACAACACCGGAGAAACATCACATTCCCCCACATTGCAACAGCAGCAGCAACAACAACACCAACATCCGCATCATCAATCGCCACCACATCATTTAGCCACACATCCCCTGCATCCAGCCTTACAACATCCTCATGCTCAGCATCCGGCTTTGGGCCAACCATTGCCATTAATTGCTGGCCATCATGCAGCAGCCGCAGCAGCATTAGCTCATCATCAACAGCAGCAGCAACAACAACATCATGTCAATGCAAATTCCCCCCAAGGATTACCAGCAACTGGAGCTGGACCCCATCCGAATGCTGGTGGCCATCCGAAAATGCATGGATTTCCCGTCGGTGCAACACAAATGGGTTCGAATGGTTTAAATGTGGCCCAATATGCTGCTGTCATGCAACAACATTATGCCCAGGCGGCAAATGCAGCTGCGGCAGCCCGGGCAGCGGCTGTGGAGCGAAATCATGGTGCCGAATTGGATGATAGCAGTGATTATCAGGACAATGAAGATTGTGATAGTGAGAATGGCAGCGGTGGACATTTGGATGATAACAGCGTTTGTAGTAATGGTGAGGTGAGCTTTGATTTACTAAAATGGGAATGTTAGGAGATCTTTTTGGAGGGGTAGGGGAAGTGTAGGAAAGGGAATTTAGGTGTTTTTTGTTGATAAGAATATTTTTTTAGATTTTGTAGTAATTTAAATTTGTTAGGAGTAGATAAAATATAAAAATTAGGACATTTTGTTAGGTATTTTAAAAAGAGGGAGATTTTGAAAATTATGTGTTGTGATGTGTGAGTTTTAGTATCAGTATATTGTATATATTTCATATTGTATAAAATTGAAATGAAAACAGACATTAATTAATATCTTAAAAAGGAGCATGAGATGGAAATGAATATGCTATCCAGTATCCAGTCCACACCTCCGTTCTAGGGGAGAGGGATATCTATGCCATTAACATAAAAATCACAGTGAACACAGAATACCATCTTTTAAAGGGAACTTCCGTTTTACTCATTTCCAATGGAAGAAACTAAAATCCAAATAAATTTAAAGGTTTTCTTGAATAATTTTCATAACAAAGAGTCTTCTTTAATCATTTTCGTGAATATTTGACAAAAAAATGAAATATTCAAAAAATGAAAACATTAAACAAATTGCAAGTATTCGAAAAATAAAAATATTCGGAAATTTGTATAAGTGCCTTGAAATATTTTAATTGCATATTTATAGAAAATTTTAAATTATTTATAATTCTAAAATCTATAAAAGCACGGATAGATTAAAATAAAAAAGTCGGGAGAGATGATTTCGACGTTTAAAGAAAATTTAAAAAATCTGCTTTTTGAGCATAAAATACAATTAAAGATTTTCTAAGAATTCGGAAAATATATAGGTCAATATTTTGATGTTAAATATGTCTTCAATTAAAATTAATGCCAGATTATATTTTTTTTAAATTATAAAATATAAAAAATAGTTCCGTTCAACATTTCCATAAAGGTGACAGCCGGAATATAAAGCAAACCATACATCCCCAAGGGTGATTAAAAAATAAAAATGGGTTTCGAGTAGTTTTTGTAATTGCGTGTGATGACACCATTTCCAATTGAGGACGATCTCTAAGGAACTAAAATTAGAATTTCCGATTTTTTATGTACTCTATCTTCACTAAATACGGGTAATATATAAATCAGAGTGTTAAAGTATGCTGGTCTTAAATATTCCTTTGATTTGAAATCAAATCTGTGGAAATTTAGGGCTAAGCTGGCCATCGAAAATTCAACATTTCCATAAGGTTATATTTTCAGGAACATTACGTTTCATTAAAATGTTATATCTGCGGATATGGGCCGAAAAAAAATCATATTTTAAATTTATTTGGTATGCGTACTGGGAATTTCTATATAATAATTGTTGGGTTTCGGAAATACATTCCATTTTCAGTGAAAAAAAATTTTTTTTGGAAAAATTTTTAAGATTTACAACAAATGAAAACAATAGATGCAAACTCTTACAAATTAAGAGATTTGTGGCATTTTTAAATGTGAAAAAATTGTAGTTGTAAAATTTGTCTACGAATATTTTTTTCACTTTTTAATATTTTCCATATTAAAAATATTCTGAAAAAGCTGATATGGAAAATAAATTTTATACTTGTTTCATTTTTATGCCATTGCTCTTAATTTTTTTACTTCCTATCATATTCACACATTTTAATTTAAAAAATCGTCTTTTTTTGGAAAATATTTCTGCAAAAAAGAATTTTTTGATTTTAATATTTTAAATATAAATTGCCCCCTTTTAAAAAATCTATCCAACCGTTTAATATGAAAAAAATCAAGTTTGTCACTTAAGTCTTTAGTTATTTTCCTTCACACTAAAACAATTTACCAAAACTTAAATTAAACGAAATCAAATTAAATTATAAACAATAATGATATGCTACAATTGGCAAGAAAAATAACAACAACAAAAAACTATTACAACAACTTAACAAACACGATTCAACAACAGACCAGAAATAAAGAATGGCAAGAAAACAGGCAAACAACAGTGCCGGCGGTAAAAAAAATTTCAAACACATTAGGAAATACAAAAATCAGCTAAGCGTGTAAATACAAATTGCTGCATAAAACGCAATACAAAAGCCTATAAGAAAACCCAAAAACAAATAATATATATTAATATAAATTATTATAAATATGAATATTAAATTATTAACACATAAAAGGAAATTCCTCAAACATTGCCTAATTTCTTAGCGATTATTTAGAGTAGTGGAGTATATTTTGGTTTTGGAATATATTAAAAACAGGAAATTTAAAGGTACCTACATTTTAATTCAAATTTTCAGAAACCAAAAAAAAAATCCTAAAACTCTTACCTAGTCTGTTAGTAAATCACTGCAGTGAATTTATGCTCTGACTACCTCATATGTATGTCTTTGGCTATATTGTTGTTGTTATTGCTATTATTATATACTACATAGGTCTTTAACTCAAACTTGAGTAGAAAAATTGCATTTTCACGCTTTGCTTAGTTTTTACAACGAATTACATTTTATTTGTTTGTGTGTGTGTTTCTCTTTTTTTAAATGCTTTAAGAAGCAAAACCAACAAAAAATCAAAACAATTGCAAGCGGAAGATATAAACTGTTTCGCACAGATAATCCCTCGGGCTTTAATTAACTTCTTAAAACTTGTTGTGGATTAGTTCATGTTTTTTGTTTTTTTTTTTTTTTTTGTTTTGAAAAATTAATTAAGAGAAAAGTTTTTATTTTCAAGTAATGCAGAGAGGAATTGTTAATTGTATATCGTATAACACAGCTTGTTTAATGAAGAGAACCTGAAGTCGTTTCACAGGTCACACATTATTATATGATGATGCATACTTTTGGGCACATATTATTGATTTAGAAGTCGGAATTAAAATATATATATATATATATATATAAATTTTATCATTTTAAAGTATTTATTTTGACTGATATATAGGACATTTATTTTATATTATTAAAGATATAACGCGCTGCAAATCAGGTCTACCCATATGTACCTGATATGTGTGATGCATACTTTTAGGCATACATTAAACTGGTTGAAATCGGTTTAAGCACATATTAATTAGATTCAAATCAGAGGGCAAATATATTTCAGAACTTGACAATTTTTTCCATCAGCTGATTTCCTATAACTGAACCTTTTGAGCACTCAGTGCAGTAAATATTATCATGTTTTGGGTGTTTTACAATTTGAATGTCCATACATACAGTCCATACATTTTCCGATGATTTTAAAACACATGATATATGAACTTATGTATGTATATAAAGGCTTACAGAAAAACAATTTGCCCAGTTTTGTTGTTCATATTGTTTTTGATGATTAAAGAAAAATCCATCTTTCCGACGGCGGGTGTATTTTCAGCTCCCGGGAACATCAAAAACCAAGAGTTCCTAGGGAATTACAAAGAATACTTATCTGGCTCTAGAATGGACTTCGCATAAAAAATTTAACAAATATTGGATATTTTTTTTTTTTGTGAAAATCTCCACATTTCATCCGCAATTTATTTATCCTAGCTACATTGCTAGTTCTCTACGTCTAGAGTAATGTCTTAAAAATCAATTGAATTATTAGTTTTTTGAGTAAAAAAAAAACGTTGTTTCGAAAAAAATTAATTAAATGTTTTGAAAAGCAATTGCGCTGATATATATCTATATATCATAAATCGGGTACATCAAAACAAAGGTTTTTGAACTTTTTATTAAGAACAACATTTGAATAGAAATTTCTAAGATATCAAAATTATTTTTTGGTATTGAATGTTCAATTGCAACATACAACAATTTTCAGCCGAGCCAATTTCAGCCGATGTAAAGCGATGGACATAGAGTTCGTCAAAGAAGATGACATATTTTAAAAACTTTTGTTTGACAACCTTTGCAAATGTGATTGACAATTCCTATCTAAGATAGAATCAAAGAAATATATTGTTACTTATTTTTGGTTTCTCCTAAATTTGATTTTTTATCAGTGCTTTTAGAATTGTTTTGGCCCAAGGACGAACACTATTGAGTTGGGAAAAATCGGTTCAAATTTAGATATAGCTCCCATATATATTTTCGACCGATTTAATGTAAACGGTCCCTATATATATTTCGATTTGCACGAAATTTGGTACAGAGTACAGAATTAGGTCCAGAGTAATGTGTGCCAAGTTTCGAAATAATCGTTTCAGATTTAGATATAGCTCCCATATATAGTTTAGTCCGATTTAAGGTAAATGATGTGGCGAAGTCCTTATATAACGTTCGATTTGCACGAAATTTGACATAGCGTACTGACTTAAGTCTAGAATGATGTGTGTAAAGTTTCCTGAAAATCGGTTCATATTTGGATATAGCTCCCATATATATTTTCGTCCGATTTTATGTAAATGGTGCACCAAAGTCCATATATATCTGCCGATTTGTACGAAATTTGGCACAGTGTAATGAATTAGGCCTAAAATGATGCGTGTTAAGTTTCCTGAGAATCGGTTTAGATTTAGGCTGCAGAATGACATGTTTATGGATCCAATTTTATTTTACTGGTCCTTTAAAAATGCGACGTCTGTTAGGATTCATCTGTTGAACATACCTAAAGTGGTGAAGGGTATCATATAGTCGGCCTCGTCCGACTTTACTACTTTCCTTACTGGTTTTCTATTCTCCTTATAGTTTTGTATCCAGCTTGTCCGCAATATTCTATCTATAATATTAATTCAATTTAGTTGCTAAACAAAAGACTACATTGTTGGCGATCGTTTATTTTTATTTAGTGGGAGTTGCAAATAAAGCAATTTATGCCAAGCATTGAACCGCAAAAATACCATGACATTACAGTTCTGCGGAATTAAACATAATTGCATATACTACTACCAATACCATACGAGAGCATAATACAAAACATAGAATGGTGAACCATAATATATAATTTGTTCTAATGTCAACTAATATAAACAAAGACTTATGGTTAAATTGAAAAAAGTAACAAACTAAAACTTCCTGCTCAAAAACAAGAACACACATAAAGGAAGTATTACACAGAAAAATAAACTATGATTTATACAAACAAAAACCTAAGCATAGTATTGGGTGGGAGTGGATAGATAATAAATAACATAAATTTAATACATGATCACAAAGCTCTGCTAATAATACATTAAACACACAATAAAAATTACTTATTTATGATATAACTGCTTAGCATTGAAAAAGAAGAAAGAAATAGTCATGGAAATATTTAAAAGCCTAAAAGCAACACATTAAAAACACATAATTCTTAGGGTTTGTTTTTGTGTGCTACTCCTAAAAAATTACCTCTTTTAGCCATCAAACATAATTCATATGCATATCATGTGAATTATTTCGAAGAAACAAAAAACAAATATGGAACATAGAAGAACTAGAGAAACACCAACTCCTCCTCAACGCAAAAAAGAAAACAGAGAAAAAGAAACTAAATATGAAATTATCTATCTACATCTATTACTGTACTTTGAAAACAGTAGGGGTCGCCTTGATTTGCCTTTTAGGCTCTTACAAGAGTAATATATTTGGCAGTATATTAAAGCGAAAATAATCGCTACATCCGTTAAAATGTTAAAATAACAGACAGTCATCTAGCAAAAAAATAAAATAAAAAACAACAACTGGAGAAACACACAATATACAATACATACATACAATGTTTGTTTTACAAAAAAATACTATTTCATGTTGAGCTAGCTCTTCAGTAGGGTTTTAAATTTGTGTATGAAATGAATTTCACCTTACCTATGCGAAACTTGTCGAATTGTGAGGAGGTGGTTTCCATACATATATTTTTGGAAACATTTCAAAATTTGTTCGTTGTTTTTTTTCGTCGATTAAGGTTTTAATGAAATTTTGTGATTATTTTTAGGGTGGTAATGTTTGTACATAAAGGTAGTCTTTTTGGTGGTGGAAGTTTAGCCGTAATTATCTTGTCTTCAGAGGAAATTGTTAGAGTAATAAATTTTACTAACGAAGAATTCATAAGCTTAATGGACAACATGTAAAAGTGATTTTTGCTTTTATAAAATGTATACATATTGTGTGGTGTAAGAAATAAAATTTTAAACTCTTGCAACTTTTATTTTCATATGATTTACGGCACATTGGTGGTTTTCAAATTAGCGCATTTTAAAATAATAATATTTTTTATTCGAATATTAAATCAAATTTTCGCAAAACTAGTCATTGAAAAAAAAAGATCTTTAAAAAATCCACGCTGTCTAGTTTTTATTTAAAAACAAATCCACGCTGCTTAGTCCTGGAAAAAAATATTATTTAAAAACAAATTCACGATGCTTTGTCCTTGAAAAAAAAATTAAAATAATAATATTTTTTATTCCAATATTAAATTAAATTTTCGCAAAACTAGTCATTAAAAAAGGATCTTTAAAAAATCCACGCTACATAGTCCTTGAGAAAAAATCTTTAAAAACAAATCTACGTTGCTTAGTCCTTGAACAAAAATCTTTAAAAACAAATCCACGATACTTAGTCCTTTAAAAAAATATTATTTGAAAACAAATTCACGATGCTTTTTCCTTGAAAAAAATTTTAAAATAATAATATTTTTATTCGAATATTAAATAAAATTTTCGCAAAACTAGTCATTAAAAAAAGGTCTTTAAAAAATCCACGCTAGATAGTCCTTGAGAAAAAATCTTTATAAACAAATTCAGGCTGCCTAGTCCTTGAGAATAAAATCTATAAAAACAAATCCAAAATTCTTAGTCTTTAAAAAAATATATTATTTAAAAATCCACGTTTCCTAGTCCTAAAAAATATTTTCAAAAATCCACAATTCTTAGTCCTTGAAAGAATATTCTTTAAAAATCCACGCTTATTGGCCTGTTACTCCTTGAATAAAATATTCTTTAAAAGTCCATTCTTATTGGTCTGTTGGTCCTAGAAAAAAAATATTTACAAAGCCAAGCTTCCTTATCAGTTGGTCCTTGAAAAATATTCGTTAGAACTCCACAGTTCTCAATCAGTTGGTCCTTCAAAACATATTCGTGGTTTTTAGGTCCTTGAAAAAATATTCTTTGAAAGTCCACAGCTCCTTAGCCTTTTTATCTCTGGAAAAATATTCGTTAAAAGTCCACGCTTCTCGTCTGTCGGTCTTTGATATACTTTAATATATTCTTATAGTTATATTCAAATCATAGACCTTGGAAAATTATTATTTAAAAAGTATAATACAGAAAGTGCTTTGCATGTCTTCTGGAGTTTATTAAACAAGGTATTTTTGAGATGTTTATTTATTTAGTTTTTGTAATTGATTTTTAATGTGTTCGAAGAAGTTGGGAAAAATATTTTTTTACAAAGTTTCTAATTTTTATTTTATTTTTGAATTTTTACTTCTTTTACTAAGAAATTTGCAATAGGAGAGTATTATTTTTTATCTATAAAGGGCTAGGATAAACTCCATTTTTATATTTTGCTAGAATATTTAGCACGTTGACGGACAGTTGCGTCTATAGCCGTCAAGTTCAAGTTCACTATGTGACATGACGGCAATAGCCGCACAAATGTGCATTTACCAGCGTACAAGTAGAAGCCTAGTGTCAATTTTCGAATTTCACTTGTTTCTACTGTCCGTCAACGTGTTAATATTTATTTTCTATAAAGAAAAATTTCTTAAGAAATAAAATTATTATTTTTTAGAAACAGTATTGTAAATGTTTTTGAAATGGGAAGAATATAAAAAATTAATAAAATTATTTTTTTAGTTATTTTTTTGTGATGACTTATTTTATTAAAAAATATGTTTTAGGAACTAAAAGACCATTATATATAAATATTTCTTTAGAAATTTGTATTTTTAAATTTGTTTGTAATATAATTTTAATTTTAAAAATTTGCCACAAACTTTTTGTGGTATAAAATGATAATTTCTAATGACATTCTAAACACACAATTCGAATTATAATTTTTTTCTGAATGCTAAAAACTGAAACTCCTAAACGTTTATTTAACAAAATGCTATTTTTTTCCTAAATACCTTTCTTATAAATATTTAACAGAAAACACAAATCAAATTAAAATTCTCTTTAGGCAAAAAGCATAAAATTCCAACGCAAATTTGCATATCAACACCAATGCTAAAACAAAAGCAACAACAAAATATACCTAGAAATAAATTTAAAAAAAATGCTATAAAGAAATTAAAGCAATTTGTTGAAACGTTTTGAAACGTCAGACAAAAAAAAAAAAATCAGAAAGCAAAAAAAAAAACTAAAAACTAAACGATAAGAATGTCATTTGAATAATCCAATAATAGTTCGCTCTATGGCTAAAAGAGAAGGGGTTTGGTAAATATTCAATAAGAAAAGAAAACAAAATTATTGCAAATTTAATTAAAATTAAGGAATATAAAATTGAAATCTCATAAAACCCAGGCCCAGGTCTCATATACAAGACTCACACACTATAAATAAGATAAGATCTTTGTTCTCTTTATGTGCTCTCTCTCTGGGAAATCAGTGTATCAACAAAAACAAGTTTGTGTCTTAAGTCTTTTGTTTTTGGATTTACTCATGGATTGTGGGGAAACAAGTTGTGTACATAGTTAAGGAATTTTGTTGTGTAGTTAATGTTTATGATTTTTAGATTTCATTATTATTAGTGTAGTTGTAGTTTATATATTACTTGTATTGTTGTTGTATGTTTTATTTTAAATACTTATATAGTTGTTGTTTGTTTTTTGGCATTTTTTACTCATACTCCGCCCTTTTTGTGTGTATTTTTTTTTTTAGGTGGCAAAGATGATGATGGCAACAGTATTAAAAGTGGCTCGACCAATGATATGAGTGGTTTAAGTAAAAAGCAGCGTAAAGCTCGTACCGCCTTTACCGATCATCAGCTGCAGACATTGGAGAAATCATTTGAACGCCAAAAATACTTGAGTGTACAAGAGAGACAAGAGTTGGCCCACAAGCTGGATCTCAGTGATTGTCAAGTTAAGACTTGGTATCAGAATCGAAGGTAAGTTGACAAAAAAGAAAACGAAAAATATGAAAAATTTAACTCTCTCGTTAGGCCAATGCATGCAGTTTTTTTTTCTAATGTATCATAAATTTTGTCTTGCCTAAACATCTCAGGGTGGTATAAAAATCATGCCATAAAAAGTCAAAAGATAAAAAAACATTAGCAGCAGCCAGTTTACACACTGCATACATACCACATATATGACAATTTTTCTGCCATATGCATCTGTAAATTACAAACGATGTCTGGTGATTGTGACTACTGCTATGCGCCGTGTGTGTGTGTTAAGCTGCCAACAAACGTTGCAACAAACCATAAATTATGCAAAGAAAAATACACATCTACCATTGCAGCTAATCTAGTCTAGTTTGGTATTGGAGTGTGAGTACGAGAAGGGGAGGGGATTGGCTCTTGCCAACATTAGAGACTATATGTCTTTTTATGCATTGAGATCATGTTTTGGCACCGGGAGCTGATATTTTTTTTTCGTTCAGGCCTTCTGGCCACAAAATTGACCATTTAGTATGAACCCACTACCACCACCACCGACACCACTACAGCCATTAGTCCCAAACAACAACGAATTGTCTGGCAAAATGACTTATACTTATAAAACTTATTGCAAATTCGTGGAATTTATTAAACACAAACGACTTCTGGCTGTTAGTAACACTTCAATGTTGTTGTTTTTCATTTTTTTTGCAGTCTTGGCAATTTGTTGTCTGCACTTAGTTTTGGTGCGTTGTGTTTTTTTTTCTTTTTTGCCCATATATTTTATTGACTTGGTTAGTGTGTTTGCAGTTGCGTTTTTTTAATTACCACTTTTGGTAGCTGCACATTTAACAGCCAACATTAAAAGCCATTTGAAACCATAAAAACAACAACTGCAACGAGAACAATTACAACAACTACACGTTTACACAGATATGTGAGAGCAATCCCCCTTGAAAGCTAGAAAAATATTTTGTGAGAGGGGAAGTAAAAATTAACAATAGTAAATTAAAAAATAAATATTTGAGGCTTGTTCCGAATTTTATATTTCAAGCTCCCCATGATTCTCTGGAACAAATCGGAGTCGTGATACACGTTGCCCATAATATGAGGAGTAATATCATAGCTTAATGACCTGAGTTTTTCCTTTGATTTCATAAAAAAGTGACACAAAGACCCTACTATTGGTCCATTGATATGATTTGGATATAGCTCCGATATATACATTTTCCTTCGATTTCAAACAAATGGTACCCTAAAGACCCTACGTTTGTTAGATTGGTACAAAATTTTGCAGAGCTTAAGGAATTAAGTCTACAAGAGTGTATGTTACGTTTCGCCGAAATCGGTTCTGATTTAGATATAGCTCCCATATATATTTTTTTCGTCCGATTTCAGGGAAATGGTGCACCAAAGACACCAAATTTGTCTAATTGTCAAATAATTCAGTTTCGAATGGTGTGTTTGAAGTTTAATTGAAATTAGTTCAAATTTCGATGTGGACCCGATGTATATTTTCGTCCGATTTCGATATAATATATTCGATTCTATCCGTCCTTCCCTTTAAAAAAATAGATCCACTAACGTTTTCAAAATTTTACTAATTTCAATTTTCCTTTTTTCCCTCTCCTTTCAGAACTAAATGGAAACGTCAAACAGCCGTTGGCTTGGAACTTCTGGCCGAAGCAGGAAACTTCGCAGCATTCCAACGTCTGTACGGGGGTTCACCCTATATTGGTGCCTGGCCATACCCTGGTGCTCAGGCTGCCCATGCTGGTCATCCACCCAACTCCATTGATTTATATTATCGGCAAGCGGCTGCTGCAGCAGCTATGCAAAAACCTTTACCCTATAGTTTATATGCTGGCGTACCAAATATGAGTCACTTGGCTGGTTTACCAGTGGCAGCAGCTGCGGCACCCTTTTCACACTTAACCGCATCCAGTTCATTGTCATCGTTAAGTAGTTATTATCAGAGTGCAACAGCGGCGGCAGCTCAAACAAATCCACCCACCTCACCTCCACACACAGCCAATGGACCAACAACGGCAGGTGCTGTCGGAGCTAATGGTGGTGGTCTTATTAAGCCCATACCAACCAGTCCCTCACCCACACCCCTGGCCGAATCATCGCCTGTACATGCCGGTACACGATCACCAAGTCCCACCTTAAATCCCGGCAGTCCACCAGGACGTTCAATTGATAGCTCATCACAAAATCAATCCGATGATGAGGATCACATACAGGTTTGAGGTGGAATAATACAAGAAGAGAATTAGTATTCAAGCCGCAACTACTAAAGAGGACCGGAAGCAGATCTACCACAAATGAGATTAATTAAATATTTCATTGAAATACTACAGAAAAGCCTTACGGGCTTTTAATGTGTATAATTTTAGTCTAGCAGAGTATTCCCCAAAAAATTCAAATTTTAGGGAAGAGGTTGGGCGCAACTGCTGTTGCCTTCCTACTTTCAAGCTATTTATGTCTCCGTTTTAGTCGAAATCTAAAAATAACAAATAATTATGGCCAAATATGAGATTATGGTCTAAAACAGGCTCAATAACTTTCTTACCATAGTGTATGTGTATGTAAACCAGTACTGCTGTAATGTATGTATTATTGTTAATTATTGTTTTATTTTCAAACGGAATTATTAAATTAAAAAAAAACAAAGAAAATAAGTATTTAATTATTTTATAAAAACAAAAACACACACAAATAATTATTAGCTTTTAATTTTTTGTACAGATTAAAAAAATGAAACGAAAAATGTTCGAATCTCCATCAAATATCTATTTATGTCAGTTATAATGCAATTATTATTATTTTTAAACAAAATATTTAACAAAGTGTTTTTGTAAATTTTTGCTAGTAAATGTTGGAAAAAAATCTTAAAGAAAGACAAATTACAAAAAAGTGCTGTAAATTTTGAAAGTTCTTTGTGTTCCACAATTATTATTTAATTTCTTTGGCACTTGTAAATGCCGTTTGAAATCGTTCGTTCATCAATAAATGTTTAGCTATTTAAGTTTGTATAAAATTATATTTATATATATGTGTAAAAAGAAAATATTATATTTATCACTGTAGCTTATAGATATTTAGGTGTAATAAGTATTCTTCTTTTTATTTTTCTTATCATAATGTAAAAAAAGCGTAAAAAATAATAAAAATTAGCTCAAAAGTATTATAAATAATGTTGCGTTTTTATTAATCCTTAAACCCTAACAAGTTCTTTATACTATACGACAAAATTGTAGTCATCGTATGATTGCCAGGAAACTTATTTTAAGGATGTAAGATCTTGAAGAGTATATTAAGAACCCAGAAGGACAAATTCGCCATGGGACAAGTTTAGTGCGATGCATTTTTTGTAGAGTTGGGTAGTTCCGGAACAAACTAGTTCATTGGAACTATTCCGAGAAAGGAACGATCGGAACTATTTCCAGCTCTTTAATTAATATAGTTCCTTTTTCTGATCTCGTTCCTTTTTGACCTCGTTCTTTTTTCTTTTCCCTTTTTTATTCCCATATTCTTCAATCGTTCGTATTTCGAATTGTGTAAATAGTAAATTTTTTTTAAATATTTTTATTTTTTTTTTTAACAAAAGTATTTTGTGCTTATCGTCGTGCATTTGAATTCTATAGATTTATTTCATTTTTGCACAATTTTCGCATTTTGCATTTATTAAGAAATCAGCACGGAACTATGTGAGCGGAAAAAACAAAAAGAACGATGAAAGAGAGAAATTCAAAGGAACTATATAGGAGTCGGAACTGTATAGAGCAAAGGAACTGTTTGGAGCAAAGGAACTATTCGGAGCAAAGAAACTATAAAGAGCAAAGGAACTGTATAGAGTAAAGGAACTATATGGATCAAAGGAACTATTTGGAGCAACGGAACTATATATGAAAGAAACGAAAAAAAGAACGTTGAAAGAGGGAGATGCAAAGGAACAATGAATGAGTCGGAACTATATGGAGCAAAGGAACTGTATGGAGCAAAGGTGCTATATTGAATCGAAGGAACTATATGGAGCAAAGGAACTATATGGAAAAAAACGAAAAAAAAACAAAAAGAACGATGAAAGATAGAGATTCAAAGGAACTAACTATATGGAGCAAAGGAACTTTTTGGAGTAAAATAACTATATAATGCAAAGCAACTTTATGGAGCAAAGGAACTACATTAAAAAAAGGAACGAGAATGATAGATCCGCTAAGCGAACTAGATTGCCCAACTCTAATTTTTTGTCTACAAATCATGAAAAATAAACTTTTTATCTTTTGCAGGATATATCAGGTTATGTTTATACCATTCACCACACTCTGGTACAGGGTATTATGTATTTGAGCATATGTTTGCAACAGGCAAAAGGAAACGAGATAGATGCATGGTTCCCTCTGAAAATATGCATAGAATCACTTTCAAAATTGTAAACAATGTACAACTCACATTTTGATCCGAATTGGATGAAATTATTGGCCCAGAGGCGAACCCTATTGAAAAATCGGTTCACATTTAAATATGGCTACCATATATATTTTCATCCGATTTAATGTAAATGGTGCATCAATGTTCCTATATATCTTTCTATTTGCACGAAATTCGGCATTGCGTACTGAATTGAGTGTAGAATTAAAATCGGCTCAGATTTAGAAATAGTGCACTTACTTGTATTATATATATATATATATATATATATTATTCGATTTGCAAGAAAATTTGGCATCTCGTTCCAAATTAAATTTAGAATGATGTGTGTAAAGTTTCGTGAAAATCGGTTCACATTAAGATAAAGCTCACATATATATTTTCGTCCGATTTTATGTAATTAGTGTACCAAGGTTCCCATATTTATGAATTGATTTTGAAGAAACTTAGAATAATGTATTCTACGTTCCGTAAAAATCGGTTTAGATTTAGATATAGCTCCCATATAAATTTTGTCCGATTTTAAGTAAATGGTGCACCAAAGTCCCTATATATTTTGCGATTTGCACGAAATTTGACATAGCGTACTGAATTAAATCTAGAATGTGTGTGTTAAGTTTAGTGAAAAATCGGTTCAGATTTAGTAAATATATATTTTTGTCCGATTTTATGTCAATGGAACAGTAAAACCCGTATATGTTTTTCGATTTGCACGAAATTTGGCATAGTGTATTGAGTTAAGCTTAGAATGATGTGTGAAGTTTCCTGAAAATCGGTTCAGATTTAAACATAGCTCCCATATGTAGAAATAGCCCAAGGTGGTGAAGTATCACCACAAGTATCATATAGTCGGCCCAATCCGACTTTACTACTCTTCTAACTGATTTCGTCTGAGTTCATGCAAATTGTGCACCAAATAATAAGCGTTTCTCCGATCGAGATAAATTTTGGATAGAGCATCATACCAAATGGTGGATGCCACGGTTGTTCAATTACGTTCAGATTTACATATAGCTCCCATATATAATTTCGCTCGAATTCCATTTTCATAGATTTCCGAATGGTATGTATATGGGTTGTTTTAAATTAGTTCAAATATATTTGTAGTTCTCCCATTTAATTTCATTCGATTCAATTTCAATAGTCCTATCAATATGCTATTGTACATAAGGGTATCTCTTGTATGTAACCAATGTGGTGAAGGGTATCATATATTTGGTCTCGTCCGACTTTTGAACTTTCCTTAGTGGTTTTACAGCTGCTATAACAAATTTCGGGTTTGACATTGATTGCTGTCGTATCATATTTTGGTGTTAAAAAGTATCAAATTGCATTTCTCTTATAATTAGAAGTTGGTCAACATTACTTAGAAGCGTGTTACGACATCTAATTTGAGGTTTGGGACCAACAGAATATCGTTTTTGTATCCTTATGACACACTTTAACTTCTGTATGTTCCAAGGTAAAAAATGAATCTTTCACTTAAGATCCAGATGGATTCTTTTGCAATTTATTAATATCATTATTATTATTGTGGCTTTATTGGTTTTGGTTCAAAAATTTTATTAAAAGAACTAATAACCAGTAAGCAGAGCAGTATAGTCGGATGGGATACCATAGGATACCCTACACAACTGTCACGGAACTCTAACTTTCTGCTGATGTTTATTGCGAGCCTGGGCAATGTTTCTGATATTTGCACCGCCTTGCCGATTAGAGATCAACAGCACCTTTTTCTTACACTGACATATTTTCCGAATATTACTAATATTCAGTCCTTCTAATTACTTGTCCATATTCCGTTCACCGTGGGTTGTGTTGTGATGTTCGGCTTTCAATTGTGGTCTATAGATCGACTCGAAAAAACACAAAAAAATATGTTTTTGGCCCATTTCATTCCAAAATGTTTATGTGATCATCACCGAAAATTATAGGCGTTGTCCTTGACCATAACATGAATCTCATGGAAAATTTCAAAGCGGTCAGCGCTATAATTCCGCCCTCTAGTGTGGTAATGGGTTACTAAATAATATCTCAGTACGTAAGCACCCGTAAATATTGATGTGTAACTCCCACATCCGAATACATACGACCATATAATTGGTATCAATTTAAAGGTCAACCAATCCTCTTGAATATACTATTAACTTCTCGGGTCTAGGACATTCAGAGACAAATATATACGCCATAGAATACAAATTTTGTAATTTTTCACACAAAAGTCAGGGTCCATTTGACCCGGCACAGGCATACTTATTCTTTGGCCCAATCCACTTCTCCATGCAAAAATTTGCGGTGTTTGGCCATAATTGCGGCTTCTGGAGCGAACAGAAAATCCGACAAAAACAAAGTTTTTGGTCCATTTCATTGGCCAGAACCCATCCTACATGCAAAATTTCGTGAAGATTGGTCCATGACTGTGGCCTGTACCGTGTTTACAAATTATAATGGACAGACGGACGGACGGACGGACACACATGTCTAGATCGACTCAGCTAGTCGAGATATGACGATCGGTATACTTAAAGGTGGTTCTAAGACCATTATTTCGCGACGTTACAAACTTTTGGGACTACACAAAGCTATAATACCCTGACAACATAGTTGTGTAGGGTATAAAAATACGAAAATTATAGGAATAATTTTCTATGCCTTTTCTTCAAGTTATTCCCAAAATGCAAACGGGGAAAAAATAAAAACGGGAATAAAAATTGCTCAATGTACAAACATCCACAAGCTTCTGCTCGCCACCATAGGTTCACGTTTTTGTATAACTCTCTTTGTAACACTCGATGGGTTTAGCCGCATTTTGCAA